TAAATGAAACTAAAGAAAAACAAGAACCTCTCTCTATCATGGAATTGATCAAGGGAAGTGGTTGGCATTGATTCTTGAACCGTTTTCATCACTAACAAGTATGAAATGACTCAAGACTCAATGGGTTCAATTAACGTTTGATTGAACCTAAACCATTTTATTATCTTGTTTCATTTTACTCCAATTTTAATACCTCTTTTTATTACCTTTCCATTCCATAAGCCTTTTAGTCCAACAATGAAGATTAAGTCCACTATGGAAAGAAGTGTCAAACAAAGGGTTATTTTGGGCATGAGAGATGTTATGCCGTTGGTAATGGACCTCCGAAGACATTAAACCATTAAACACAACAATCTCTATCTCAAGCTTAAACAAACAATCGGTTTGAAACGACTCTCTAAGCAAAGAAGAAATCAAGAAATAAGAGAAGTACAGAGATAATTAGAGATGAACACAAGTATGGAAAGCTTGAAATAAATGCTATCAACTCAAATAGGTTGGTGTCTAATGGCTAAAACACCAAACCTATAAGGACCGTTACACTACAGGTATGCAATACAAAGCATAAATGACATAACTAGCTTAAAATAGTCCTAAAGTAAGAAAAAATAATGCTGAAATTTATGTAAGAATAGCTAAAAGAATAAGCTAAAATAATGGAACAATTAAGCTAGCAAACAAGCCAAAAGAGGGGTGGCTAACCCCTCAGTTTTTCGAACTTCCAAACCACATTTTTAGCCTCTGAAAACCTCGAAAAATCAGTGGTAAAAAGTTGGAAAAAGGTTGAGGAAGAGATGGGAAACATAAGGGGAAAAGCTTAAGAGACAAGGTACAAAGAAGAGTGATTAACTCCTCTACCTTTAATAGCCTTAAACCACAAGCTTCAGCCCATAAAAATAGTTGAAAAACAGCGCAAAAACAACAAATAAAGATAAAAAAGAAGTAGTATAAAGATAGTCAAAGTTATACCTCTTAATGGAAGGTAATTATTTTGTTAATAAACCCACAAGTTCTCATTCTCAAGGGCTGAGATTTAAGCTTAAGATCCTCAGCAATAAGAGATAAATTTTTGGTTTAGGAAGTGTAGAAAGAGAGTGTGTAGGTTGCAAGATAGAAAGAGAGAGTGCTATGCAAGTATTGGAGTTTTGGAATTTTTTTCTAACCTAATTTTATGAGAGGGGGTCAAGTATATATGGAAAAACATGTTGCTAGCTCGGAAATATCAGTATAGAAATAGTTGGTGCAGTGCATGCACCTATGGGGACAGCTAGCACAATTGGTAGCAAAATATATACTTTCGACATAAGTGGCTGGTCGTGCATTATTAGTAGCTGACCGTACACTTCTTCTGGGAAGCCGTACGCTTGTGGGGACACTTGGCTGGCCAATCTACTCAAAATGGCCTAATGTTTCACAACTAGCCTGCCGTCCACAAAAATCTACTTCTAGCCCGACTTCAAACGGGCATATCTCCATCATCCGGTCTCGATTTCAGGTGATTCTTAAGTCTAAATTTAAGCCTCGGAAGTCTAATTTCCAATGGTGGTGGCCTCACATCTAAATTCCAAGTGTGCAAAGAGATGTGCCTATTTTAGTAAAGGATGCTCATTTATCTCTTAACGCTTTGATGCCCAACTTCTTCCGCAATTAGTTTTCTGCCCTTCTCTCCTATTTTCTTCAAAGCCAAACCTATAAATAAGATGTTTTAAAGATTTTCAAAGAGTTCACCTCCGTTTCATTTATTTCCACTTTGTCCTTACTCGGTTTACCGAAAAGTGCAACATCTTTAAATGAAATGCGAGGCTTGTAACATCGTAGAAACATTTGAAAATTTATTTTGAAAAAGAGGGTTTTAAGGTCTAAAATAGTTTTGGTAAAAAATGGGATATAAGGTTGGGATTTAGAAGCTCTTCTTGCTGAAGAAATCGAATGTTTGTATTGCATAACTTTCATCATCGAATGATCAACCTAGGGCGCCCAAGTCTTGGTGGGAAGGAGATACTTGGTCATGGATGGGAAGTGGGTTGGTGGTAACATTGGGGTCTTGAGGTGGAGTTATCGTCTGGTTGTTGATGAGATTTTGAACCTCATGAGGAAAGCGGTAACAACAGTCGATGCCATGACTGCGCTGTTGATGATATGTATAGTATTTGGTGGGGTTATGTCTAGCAAGTAGTGGGTCAGGAAGAGGTTGGAGATAAAACGGTTTGAGATACCCTCTTTCCATCAGGACTTTTAGTGCACTAGTTAAGCTCATATGGAGAGAGGTGAAAGTTTTGCCTCAGCTCGGGTTGAACTGGCTGTTTGTGGGTTGGTATTGGCAAAAAGGTCAGTAATTTTGGGATTGGTAGCAACGGTCCTGAGTTTAGTGGGTTTGGGAATAGTTCTACTGCTATCATTGGTATTCCCGGAAAACACCCTCCTTGTTGGGTCGTTTGCCCTAGAAATAATCCTTCTATTAAATACACTTTCAATCTGAATCCTTATTTCATGCAAAATTTTTAAAGTGAATAGTGGAGCGACTATTAACTTTTGTAACATATCAAGCTCAAGGTTCTGCACCACTATCCACACTTGGTCCCTCTTAGAAGGTCGATCTATCATTTGTGCTGCCTTTGCCCCATACCTTGCAACAAATTCCACAAAAGGTTCTTTAGGATTCTGGTGGGTTGTTTCAAACTTTTCAGTGGTCATTTCAATTTGGATATTGTAAGCATACTGATTGACAAATGCCTCAGCCAAATCTTCCCAGTTCTGCTTTACTTTATCCTCCAACTTGGCATACCAAGTGGCACCTGACAGGGTTCTGCCATACAGGGAGAGTTTTTGAGGCTTAGTCAGACCCATCGGTTTCAGAATGTCCAAGAAAAGCCGGATATGTACCATAGGATCTCTAAACCCGTCGAAACGGTCAATATGTGGCATTTTGAATCTATCTAGGAGCCTTATGGCAGCCTCGGTGTACCCATCCTCAATGTTGGGAATAGAGCTAATTCCCTATGCCTTTTTGAATTGCTTATCAAGGTTAAGCAGTTTTAACAAGGTTAGGTCGAGATCATCAATGTCAAGGGAATAAAGCCCCTCATTAGGCTGCACCAGGGATCTGAAAACTCGAGCTTGAGTCAATCCTTCTCGAGGATCTGGACCCTGCAAATCTTCAGCTGGCGAAAGTTGGTCAAAGTTCGGCTGGGGACCCAGGACTAGATGTGTGGTAGATGCCCCAGATAGGTGTTGCATCTCAGTAATGGTCTTATCCTCCATGACAACTATCTAGTTTAAGGTCGTTATCATGGCCACAACTGGTTTTGGACTCTGTGCCATCATGGGTCTGCTGAGTTGGCAATTGGGAAAATGGATGGGTGTAAGCTAAGAGCTCTTGCAATTATTGCAAACATCATAAAACAGCAGAAACACCTCTTGCAATTATTCTTTGTGCATTAAAACAAATGGAGATAAGACATACACAAGACACTTCTCAATATTATCAACCTTCTCAAATAATCAAAGCCAATTGTCATTTCATTCATTTGTCAACCAGGACTAGGAGTAGAATAGTGAATTACTCAGAGCAAACAGCATAACCTAGTACTCTCCAAAGAGTCAGAATGGTTGAGGTATTACTCGAAAGGGGTAAAGTCGAAAAGTTTCAAAGTTATCTCTGTTCGACCAGGCATGATAGGCTTCCCAGCCAACAGCTCGGCAAGAATGTAACAAAGAATAACACTCGATGGTAAAAGCAAACCTCTAATGACCTATTAGGAGAGGCTTGAACTTGACACCTTAACTGTTATGTTCAAACCTCAAATTGAGACATCAAAACCTTATCAATCCTATTAACTCATGTCTGACTCAATCAACAGATATCCCATAATGCCCAAACAATCAACATAATGGCCAATCAAAATCAACATAACAATCAAAAATTGAAGACAAAACCCATAATGCCCAAACCCTAACAAACAATCATAACCCTAACAATCATTAATTGATGAGGCCGGAAAACATATTTTACAAATTGAAGCCAAAACCAAAACCCTAACACAAATTGCAATAAAAATCCAAACACAGAAACACAAACCCTAGTTTTTTTGCGATTATGGGTTTACCTTTTGTTGTGGTACCTTTTTTCCTGCTAGTCGACACCACCGTATACGAGTCCACACCCGTAGATGAAGATTTGTTCTACACGTTCACAAAGATGTATGAGGATACAGTGTTGATGAGAGGATTTGGAAGAGATTAAGGGCTTGAGGAGAGAGTGAGTAGAGAGAGATGAGAGGATTTGGAAGAGATTAAAGGCTCGGATGGAGTCGAGTCTGAGGAGAGAGTGAGTAGAGAGAGATGGTTTTGGAGTCTGAGGAGAGAGAATAGACTTTACTTACTTTTTTTTCGAGCCATTTGAGCTACAGATCATTTTTGTCTTTTTTTTTTTAGTCTTCTCCTACTTCATGTATTATTTAGACATCACAAAGTTCCTAATTAATTGCACAAAAGAAAAAAGAAAATTAAAATAAATAAATCAACCAATTATAAGAACAGAAAATAAATATATATATATATATAAATAAATATCATACATGAACCACCAGAAATAAGAGTAATTGGTCCTGTAGTTGAATAAAATATCATTGCAGTTTACTATGTAACAGTTCCTGTTGAGACATAATAAATCAATTTGAGTTCGCAAATACGATGCTGTATATAGGGCAAGTGGTCGACTGGCTGGTTTCCAAGCGGCAGAGGCAAGAAAAACTCATTACGGAATAGCATCCATTATTGACTAATTTATACCAAGAAACCAACCTGCAAGTGCTGAATTGTTAATTAAATTAGATATAACACAAAAAATATGCATCAGGCTTATAACAGATTTACCATGAACCTAAGCAGAATTTCTAATAGAGATGATGTATGAAAATTCTAGACATTCATCTAGGAGAACATAAATGATAAACATCACCAAGAGATAAACAGCACTAACACCCATATCCTGAAGTAGAAAATTGAGAAACATTTATAAAAAAAATTATTGCTCATATCACCCCTCAAAAAGAGTTCCACTAAATATTTTCATATATTTTATATGGATAACTGACTAACCTCTTTACAAACTTCTTCTGCCTCATTGGATGACCTAGCATAATTAACCAGGACCTGTCATAGAAACCATAATCAATATTTGGGAGGAAGGGATGGTGAATGAAAAAGCACTCTACTACTCATGACATCACTTATCAGTTATTACTCTAAGATAATCAAAAGCAAGTAATTGCAGCATGTAGACTCCATTCCACAGAGTCATGTAGACTCCATTCAGAAAGCTAGAAGTACTGAAATCACAAAATTATTGTGGTCAGTTGTCATGGGTAATAAAGTTTGCAGTCCTTGAAATGCAAATGAGTTGGCATTAAAAAATGTGACGGCTGAAATTATAAAATTGCATCAGGTTGAGATCCCTTCAGATTCAAATGGATTGTAATAACTGAGAATGCAAACAACTAAACAACCATTGGACCGCCAAAAACCCACAAAGAAGAATGTTTGACAGGTGAAGGTTCTAGGATTTATAGCTTAATTTGCCGAGAATCACTGCATTATTTGCCACTCTTCTTTTAAGAATCACACATTATTAATCTTAAACTTTATATTCTGCTTTTGGAGATTAGCCTTCTTTCTTATTAGTGTGAAGAGTGGTGCACAACAATACCCCCAAGATACCAGGTTCTAGGAGGTGACACCTTAAATACTTAATACAGAGGGATCCACTGACCTTACAACCTGCTTTCCCCATAGCCAGTGCAATTGCTCTGCCAATACCTCTAGAGGCTCCAGTAACCACAACAACAGGAGCTGCCACACTTTGAGTAGCTTCAATACTTGCTTGTTCAACAGTGGCAACCTGTGCTTTTACACCTGCTTGTATGATTAAACCCATTACAATCAATGAGATCCACATTTTAGGACATCAGATAGTATTTATGGGGTACGTGTCACCATAAATGAGAGGAAAGAAAAGTCCATTATTTTAGCAAAAGAAAATGTTTAATTGAGGTACAAAACCATGTAAGAAAAATTTCTCCGCATATATTTCATCACAACTCACAAGTCAATGCAATGATAAGATTTCCTTATATAGTTGTTCTTACATGAAACTCAAATTAAGTCCAATGTCTTCTTATAACATATAAATAAATGTATTTGTTTTACAATTTCTTTCGTTTAATTCTAAATTCCTCACAACTTTACTCCAGTGAGTTTCTGTGCATGTGTGTAAAACATTAATGGCAACAATATTTTTGATCAAATGAAACTCCAGTTTCTACATTGACAAATAACTTCCAAATCTGCTTCTATATTTACTAAACTATCTCAAAATTTAATAGAGTTACAAGAAATACTATTGTCCATGTGCATTTGAAATCATACAATTCAATCTTGGTTTTCTTCAAATAGCTCACATTATTTTCTCATTACTATCTCCTAAATTTTGAATTGAATTCAAAAGTCGTGTTTTTGTCAGAGAAACCGCACATCCACCACGTAAACTCACCAAGTTTCAAACTTCATGAACAAAATTCTCGAATAAAAAACCAACATTTCGAATGAATAATAATTCAAAATCGTATCCTCAAAATTCATTTTTCAAATTTCTCAAACAATTTCTTGAGATATTCAATCAGACTCCCAAAAAAAAAAAAAATACCAAATTGATCCAAATGCGTAATAATTCCAACACAAAATCGGACCTTTTACTTTAATACCACCAAATTATATTAAACCTAAGAAATTAGGAGTGCCTATGCAATTAACTGATTCAATTCATTCAGTGATATCATTAAACAGAGCATAGAGTGATGATTACCAGACGAAGCAAAGGAGCTTCGCGATCCGCAATGCGTGTTAAGGCTATGTCGGAGCTGAATAGATCCGACTCGGCTTGAAATCGGACAGCAATGTTGGAAATTAGCGAGTTTCAAATTGCCAGAATGAGCAAAAATTCCGGTGGATTTGAAGGCGACGAAGGCCGATCCGGCGGCGGAATAAGAAGCCATAGAAACTCCGGCTATTGAAGAGAGAGAGAGAGAGAAATGAAGAAGAGGGCTAGAGAGAGAATTGATATATATACATATATATATATATATATCTATGAACCAGAGGAAGAGAGGAATGTGATCATTGATTTGCTTTGGAAGCTCCGAAGAGTGTGATGAGAATGGCGATGCATACAAACAAAGAAAAGAGCTTCCACTGTGTGGACTTTTAAGGAAAATGCGTGAGAGGTGGAATGGTCTGAATAGTATGAAAAATATTTTGTTTTTTTGGTAAGAGAGTAAAAGAAATGAGTAATCATTCATCCTCCTTTTCTCTCATCTCTTTGACCTTTTCTCTCTTTTATTGGTTATTTTTTTTTTTTTTTCTTTTTTTTTCTGCTCCACCAATCACCTCCTACCACGTGACAAAAGGGGGTGAGGGGTGACCCTCAAAAGGGTCCCAAGCATTAATCTTAAAACGATATCATTTTGATATTTCGGGCCATTGATATTTCGGGTTTGTTATTTGGGGTTTGATTTTGATTTATTTACCATGCAGCCACTGAGTTCAGTTCGCAAACATCGTAGATATATTGGGGGTTGTCTTGAGTGAATGGCACAATGGTGATAATGGGGTGGTTAGAAAAATGCTTGGGAGCACTAATTAGTGCTCCCACTAATTAGGTGGCAGTGAATCCCGCCATTAATGATGTGATGTTTTGGTCTTGGAATTGTGTTTTTTTTTTTTTTTACTTTTTTAATGCATTAGTGCTATTAGTGAT